CTTTTCAACATTGTAGTCTCACCCAGAGCGCTCATAACACATTCGATTTATTTAGGGGGGGAAAAAAGACAGATTTTAGCATTAATAAAAATGTGCTTTTTAGTATTGAGTATTATTTATGCAGAAAGCAACATGTAGGGCTTTGGAATATTGGCTTATTTATATTCAGAACTTAATTTAACTCATTAGCTGTGTTGTACTCCTCCATCAATATCAGGCAATTTAGACACTGAATAATTGTCTAAATTCAGTCAAAATATACTTTTACCATTGCTTAGCAACCGCTGCCTTTTTAGCTTTACTATCGACTGCTTGCTGATGGTAAACATGCATACAAAACAGAAGAATCCCTTTTTATTTCCCAGTATTTTCATTAGTTTAATTAAACCAGCATTTAACACACTGTTTTTATTTTATTTTTTGGTCTAATAAACCTACTTCTATATGTATTTCCTCATATACCACATTCATATTTTATCACACACTGCCCACACACAACTTGCTCCAGTCTCTTTTTTTCCTATGTGACTGCTGTGCCAACTCCTCCAGCTTTACAAATATGATAAGACCAAAGCTGCAAGAACTCTTCCAGCATATGGTAATGGTTAACCAGATAATTCATTTAGGGGTGGGAATAGAAAACAGTCAGAAGTTATTCTGTCTTCTGTGTGTTTGCCCGCCGTCAATGAGTTGCATTCATTCATAGCAGGACTCAGAATGGAGGAGACGTTGCAACAAGAGAAACAAGAGTCGGAATATAAAAATCCCAACGAGGATCAAGGTTAACCTTTTTACATTTCTTCTTCTCTTCTTTTGAAATTACTTACTTAAACATTTCCACTCTAGAAGGTTGAGTGAGGTAGTTATTCATGTGCATACAGTGTAGAGTCTTAAGGTCAACTCAGACCAACATTTAAGCTGCGTTACTGCAAATAAGAGACAAGTTTAGTCCATCTGTGTAATTGTATTTTAAAGCTCAGAGTGAAAAAAAAACATGTCTGTCTATAAACCACATCTTTATATGCTATCAGTTGCTCACACTTGTCATGTGTAAAAATGCTGCTCTGCATATCTTATTTTATACCGCCTTTGTTAGACTGGTTTCTCTGAATGGGTTTTTTGTCTTATAGGTGGGATCCGTCGCCGATTGAGGGACAGGGATCTTCTCAGGAAGAGAAAGGCTGAAGCTGAAGAGAAGGAAACTAACCAGTGGGTCTTTGGGTAAATTTATAGAAAAGCACAGTTAATGTTGCAGTTTTAGCATTTACAGCTATGTTTACTTTAAGTTACCATCAGGGGTTTTGCAGTAAAGACAAACTCTACAAATCCAAGTGCTTATATACCAGTGTAATGATGGATTAAATAATTGTTTTGATGCAATGGAGAGTAAATTTGAGCATCAGTTAGAGAGGTTTAGTGGGGTTTTATTCACAACACTTGCATTATAAAACACTGTACTTCACAATGTGACAACATTATCAGCTGCTTATCACTCCTCTGCTTTATATTGAATGTGGAGCAAGAGGAAACCAAAGGTTGCTCTGGTGTTTCTATTGACGCCCCAGATCCAGGTCAAGGACTTTGTACTATTAGCTTTGCAAAAGTATCACAAAGAGCTTATACCAACGTCCACTGTTGCTGAGTTTGATTACAATTGTTGTACTGTATTTCAGGGTGGAGAGTCAGAGGAAAAGACCGAGGGCTGAGGACAGGAGCGGTGCAAAGAAGAAAGGGAGGCCCAGAAAGACTGAACCCAAACCGGAGGTATCTGCCATTCAGCAAGAGGCAGCACCGCCTCAGGAAGGTCCTGCAGTAGTGGTGGTGCCTGAACCCACTGAGGTCACCCTAGATCAAACAGCAAGTTCTCTATCACCCTTACTTACGGTGGAATCAAAACCAGCATCTGTCCTTGCTGCCCCTGCTCCTCTGCCACTGTTTGGCTCCATCCAGAGCGCAGTCTTTGCTCCTACTCTGACTCCTCCAGCTCCAGTTAACCTGGCTCCAGCCCTTTTTTCACCTTCAGTTCCTGCCCAAGTTCCCGCCAAAGATCTAGATACGGCTCCAGTCCCCGTCCAAGATTTGGCTCCAGCTCCAGATGCTGCTCCAGTCCCCACCTCTGATCCAGCTGCAGCTCCTTCTGCAGCTCCTCCCCAGGTGGATCCCTTCTACATAGGGTCACAAGGCAGTAAAGCCCTTGACCAGGTCCTGATTGAGGACTTGGGCCCGGATGAGGAGCAAGAAATCCCTGTACCTCAAGACAAAAGAGCTGATGAAGGTAATAAAAAGGAAATTTAGACTTCTAGATTTAGACTTACCTGCCTGGTTGAAAAGTTCTAAAACTAATTGTATCCTATCTGTGTGTTTTTTTCTAGATTTGAGTGGGACAGCGTCGATTAACGTACCTGAACAAAGCAAAATGTTCTCAGTTCCCACCTTCCCACAGCCGCCTCCTCCACAAGAATACTTCCCAGGAAATTCATTCTAATTTTCTAAAACACACATTACAGATACTGCCTCAGTTCAGAACACGCAAGCCAGACTTCATCTTTTTTGGCCACAGTTTGTATCTGACTATTGTTTTGGTTAGTGTGCAGCCTGTTGAGGTTGAAGAGAATAAACATGTTGAGCATATGCATCGCTTATTTGCCAAATGTATGATTTCAAACCTGTATGCTTATTTATTCTGGTTTGTGCTTCACGGACAAGCTCATGAATTTTATTTTGTATTTTGCATTTAGTAAACAGCAAATTTTGCCTGCTTTTATTTAAAAGTAAATGGTATAAATCACTGGTAATTATGTATTTGTAATTGTGGATTTATTTGAATTTTGTAAAAGTTGTTTTTCACCTAATAAAATAACCTGCTTACAATCGTCTGGGTGTGGTCATCATTATCTGCATCATTCAGACATAAGATATGATCAAAAAATTAAATATAAGAGATTTCCTTCAAATTAGTTAATAGATTTTGATCCCTCTATTTACTGTGTTACAAAATGTAACCGTCAATAGTAGTAACTATGGCCAAATGTTACTTGGATTATGTATATACAGCACATTTATTGCACTCTAACTGATAAGTATATAAAACTCTAACAATAAACCATTTTTAAAGTTCTGGTCATTGAAATTAAAAAGTATATGTCATTATTGTCTCCAGTGAACATAATATCTGCACACTTGTATTTAATTTATGCCTTGTTTGTTGCCTGTGGTACACCTGGCTCTACTTTTTCTGCCTACTCTTATTGTGCTAGTTGTACTTTCCTTAATACTATACAGAGGTGGAAGACGTATATATATATACATATCTACCACAATGTAAAATTACCCCATTACAACAAAAAGTCCTGAATTCAAATGAGTAATATCAGCAACATATTTTTCAACATCAGAATCAAATATAAAAAGCAGAGCTTCTACAGCAGAATGGTCACAGTCAGTGTAATGTTATTATACATTATATTATTAGATTATGCATTAGCAGGTAACAGTGAAAAATAATCCAGTAAAAGACTTGCATTCAAACTTTACTTGTAAGTATTATCACCAATAATTTACTTAAGTGGCAAAGGTAAAAGTACTCATTCTGCAGAAGTGGTCCCTGTCAGTGTTTTACTATTATATGATGTTTTTGAAATGATATTACTTCTGAGTCAATGTGTATGTCGAATTTCACTGCTGTATATACTGTTAGGTAGTTTAATCAAATATGTTCGTAGTGTCACTGTCCTGTGAGAACCACGTTTATTTCTTAACCAATAGAGGAACACGTAATCAGTTTATAAGGACAGATTCAATTTAACATAACCAAATTTGGACATACATGGCTTTCCCTGGACAGGAAGGGTATGAAAAAGAAATTTAAAGAAGTAAATATTAGGGATGCACGATAAATATTATGACAGATAAATTATCGTCCGATAATAGGAAATGTATATTATTATAAATTATCAAGATAATTAAATTACAGCCAATAAATTGTCGGTTGATATTAATAATCATTTAGTTGGAATTCTTATGCAAAACGATTGATAGACTTTATCTTCAGTTAGAACAGGATATTAAATCATCCATCTTTGCTCACTACAGCTGATCCTTTCTTAAGCTCAAGTGTGTAAAAACTACAGGTTATAAACATTTTTTAAATACAATAATGCTATAATGATCTGTCATCTTATCGGTATCGACCATGAGAAGCTGGCACATATTGGTTATCGTATCGGCTGGAAAAAAGAAAAATCCTAATTGTGCATACCTAGTAATCGTATCGGCTGGAAAAAAGAAAAATCCTAATTGTGCATACCTAGTAAATATATCTGTCAGACAAAATGCAGCTGAGTAAGAAGTACAATATTTGCCTCTGAGATGTAGTGGGTGGAAATACTCAAGAAGAAGTAACTCTAATTAAATAGTGAATTTGTACAGTACTTGAGTAAACACCCCCCCATTCCACCACTGGGGGGTATGCAGCATTTTAATGTCATAGCTGGTGAGGTGGAACTATTTTATTCTGTTTAATCTATAACATTGCATTTTCTATTATATCAGATTATCCTATTTTTTTGTAACGTCATGTCAAGTAAATAATAATATTTGAGTTGTTGATTGATTATTATTATGTTACGGATTAGTTGTGTAAGCAGAGTAAAAGCAAATACTACATCTACTTACATTCCACCACTGACTGTAGATTGTGTAGCTACATTTATAAATAAAGTTTGTTTAAAAAAAATAAAATAAATGACACACAACTCTTGGCTGCCCTCTGCTGACCTGAAACACAAGTGCAAATGTATTTTATTTTATACATAAACAAATATGACTTCTGCAACATTAATGCGTAATTTATGTGTGATAGCTGCATGTAGTGTTTATTTAAAAAAACAAAAAACAAAAAACATTTAAGTTACAATCCACAAAATACGGATTGTGACAAACCGACTCACTGCTCGGATATTGTCACGTGAAAAACACTCCAAGCGGAAGTCCAACATGTGCTACTTCCGCACTGAAGAGGAACTCCCACATGCTTCTGTCAGCGTGCTGTTTGTTGCTGTTTAACGGCGAACTAAAAGTGGACTTATTGAGAACAGCCTGTCCTTTCTTGTCTTCCTTTAGATCAGTGAGATGAGTCCTCTGTGTGACAGCTGCGGTGAGCACATTCACAAGCTTAATCAGCAGGTTTCTGTGATGAGAAAAGAAATCAAGAACCTGAGGTATGTTTACAGCAGCGCAGGTAGTAAACAAACGCACTGTTAACCTTTCTAACAGTTGTATTTTAGTGGACAGTATATTTTCCCCTTTAAATCTTTCTTTTACTGTAGTGGATTGTATTTTCTCTGTGCTTCCTTGTAGAAACTATTTCTATTTAATTTTAGGGCTGCACAATTAATTCAAATATTAAAGAAATCGCAATAAAAATGCATTTCGTTGATATAGGTAAAAATGTGTGGCAAAACAGCATTATAATAAACTGTAGTGCCCCCCCAAAAAACTGTCAAAATTACATGTGTAATGCAAAAATAATTATTCCCACACTAACTGTGAATCATATTGCAATATCTGTCAAAATAATCTCAATATGATGTTTTGACCATATCGTGCAGCCCTATTTCTTTTGGTGTTTATATGTATCTGTTCTTCTTTAACAGGCAGATGTTGGACAGTGCGGTCAGAGCTCATCGCAAACATATGGTCTCCATTCAGTCGGCCGTGTCAAACATTGGACTCAGTGAACCTGATATAGACCAGACACCACCACCACCACCTTCACCAGCATCAGCACAGGCTGCATTAGAGCAAGGTAATTCATTATTATTACAGCTGTAAAGTCTCCACAGTTGTAATGAAAATATAATAAACATGTTTCTCAGTAAACATAGTAAAATAACAAATTTTCAATCACTAGAGATGCACTGATACATTGGCCCATATTCACCCTGTTGACTGACATCTGTTTATTGGCAAATAAAATGGCATTCACCAATATCAGTGGCCGATGTTTATCTCTTGTGTCACATCAATTTTGCGCTGGCTGAATGTTGTGTCGTTTATTTCCAACTTGGATATTGGAGAAATAACCACCTCTGTTTTCTAGAACTGGTGCAAATTTTACACAAATACAGATGTGCTCCAAGCAGCGGCACGGACAGCGAGCGGCTGTTCAGCTCCTTCATCTCACTTCTTGGATAAAAAGAGAAATAGACTGAGCTGTAACAGATGCAGAAATGCTTATATTTGTAGATTTCTCTGTTTCCCTGTCTCAAAAGGGTGAATAAATAATAAATAAAAAAACATTGGCTATCGGCCAAATTATTATATTAAACAGTGGTATCGGCCTAGAATTTCCCAATCCCTACATAAAATAATAAAAAGAGTCCAAGGTGACTTTAAATTAATTGTGAATTAAATTAACAACATTATAAATCAGAGAAAAGCAGCTGATTCATTTTCTGGCAATTGACTGCTTAGTTAATTGTGTGATTAATCATTTCAGCACTAAAATAAAAATGTATACTGAATATATTATTCATACATACATACATAAATAAATAAATAAATAAAAATAAAAGAAAAAAAGAAGGTGCATAGTACTGGTTAATATAAATGACAAGCAGCAAAGGAAATGTGCAGAAAGGATAATCTATGTTACTTTGTTACAAAAGTTATAAACATTGTTAACTGTGTGACGTTGCAGGAAACATCCAGACTGTCCCGATTGGTTACATTAGTTCCTGTTTCTCTGTGAAGAATGGGACCCCCAGACAGCCCACCATTTGTGGGCCCTCAAGGGCAGAACTGCGCATCCGGCAGAGTGTCTTCAATAACCCTGAGCACGCTCTGGTGGGCCTGGAGCAATACTCACATGTGTGGTAGGTCACATACAGCGGCATGTTTATACTAAGTCTCTTCTACAGTCCCGTCCATGGTTTGCCATTATCTCAGATATAAGCAAAAAGTGACAGAATGCCAGAATGCAATGACGCAAAAAGAACAACATTTTTACTATCACCTTATTGATATGCTGTATGTATGTATATATATATATATATAATACTTTATATTTGATCTTTTATTTTATTTTTAATTCTATTCTTAAGGTTAAGGTTTTTAATTTTAGTTGAATGTATGTTTTGTATTTTGTATGCTACTGGATACTTGAATTTCCCTCAGGATAAATAAAGTATCCATCCATCTATCTATCTATCTATCTATCTATCTATCTATCTATCTATCTATCTATCTATCTATCTATCTATCTATCTGTAGGTTCAGTAAGCTGAATGTGGCTTTTTGTTGTGCACCAACATGTGCAGTTGATGTCAAGAGTCTGCACAAAACCCTTTAAAATGTTGTAATGTAATTGCACTAAAGCATAAATTAAAACCCTTTAAACGGCATTTTCATTGAGACATTTGAGTTTAATGGCGACCTTTCGTTGCTTGAATGAGTGGACCTTTCACCTGTCTCATATAAGCATATGAAGCCATGTGAGATTAGCACTTGTGGACTGAGGATTTAGGATTCCCCCCCTATTTTAGACAAGGTCTAAAACCGAGTCTGCACACACACACACACACACACACACACACACACACACACACACACACACACACACACACACACACACACACACACACTTTATGTATCTGCTGTTTATTTTATGTCATTATGTCTCCACAGGATCATCTTTCTCTTTCACAAAAACGGGCACATGAGTTATAAAGCCAAAGTGAAGCCTCCCAGACTTAATGGTCAGAGAGTTGGTGTGTACTCGACACGCAGTCCGCACCGCCCAAATGCCTTGGGCTTAACTCTAGCTAAACTCGATAAGATTGCAGGTGAGTGTCTTTAACAATTGTGTCTTTGCGAGGATCAATGCACAGATTTAGCAGAATGTAAACATATCATTTCTTTTTAACTCTAAATGATAGACCACACTAATGTATTGAATATTATGTTTTTTCCTTTTGCAGTTAAAGTTAAATATACTAGAAATCTGAACTGTCAAATTTAACCTCAACTGCAAAAACAAGTAATTGACTCTGCTGGATAGAAACACATGATTTCCTACCTTTATTTTCTAGGTGATACAGTACATCTGTCCGACATTGACATGATTGCTGGCACCCCAGTCCTAGACATCAAACCCTACATCCCGGAGTACGACTCCCCCCACACCAGGATGGGCACGGACTCGGAGCCTTATGATTCAAACACAGACCAACCACAGGCAACCACAGAAGCAGGTGCTCAGTCTGACCTAAAAAGCGAAACAACTGATGTTGATGACTCGGGGAGTCTCCTCTCTGATATTCCAGCCACTGATTCATCTAGAGGCAGTGCTCAGTTTTCCCTCCCCAGAGACCTCCACAATGTGCTGGAGGACGTCAGGGCATATGTGACTCAAGGTGATGTTCGCCAGGTGAGCTGCAAGAGCGAGGACCAAGTTTCAGACTCACCCAAAACCAAACCACAGGAGTCTATGGTGGACCACCCTTGCTATGGAGAGGAGGCCTACAGCACTATTGCTGGCTGGATCAGAGAACCTCCTGTTGGCAGTCTGGAGGTGCGCTTCACACCACATGCTCAGAGGCAGTTGGGAGAATTCCTTCCCACACACCTGTCAGGTAAGCTACAGTTACAGTTTACATTATACTACCATCAAGCCTTTTGTCCCTCTGAGAAAAGGGTGCTGTTGTGCTTTTCTCCACAAGAGGGTGCTGTTGCGAAACAAATTAATATGAACAAAGACATTCATAGCATTTATGTCACACAGGAGCCTCTGAGAGTGACAGACGCACGTTCAAGTTTCTGCGCAGTCCAGAGGAGGCTGCTGCCGCCATCAGAGGAGTGCTGTCAGCAGACCCACGGTCAGTCTACAGGAGGACACGCTGCAGAGACAGACTCTTCTTCTTTACCCTGGACACGGCTGACATCACCTGCTGGTTTGGACGAGGCTTTGCTGAAGTACTGCAGGTCCGACCTGTTGAGCAACATCTTCCCTCAGTATGAGAAACGCTCTCGGTGAAAGCTTCAGCTGGAAAGACTCTGGATTTTCTAGATTTTCATGTGTGCAGGGAAACAAAACCAGAGTATCAAATGTTTCTCATACCTACATTGCCAGATTCTCTACTGGCAAACTTTATTAAAATCAGTTTTATATGAAAGACAAGCAATTATTAATTATGTATAAGAAGCTTAAATAGATTAAAAGATTTTTTGAAACATGAAAGTTGTTTATGTGCTCTGTTATTGACAGGGAACTATAATGGCGCAGAAATGGTAAATAATAAATACATCAAAATATTTTCTATGTGTTGGTCCATTTTAAAAAATAGGAGTGATTGTACAAATTCAGTAAATGATCAAGTTTTTCTCATAAAATACAGTATATGTCTTATGAAACCCAATCCATTTTCATTATTCTTCAGAAAATTGCACATTTATTTGTCAAGACTTATTCTCTACTGGTGTTGTCAGGTAGCAGCTGCGTTCCAAATAATTTCCACTTTCACATCTTTTTTTAATTTGGAGGAAGTAACTGGCCCTCTGCCGATAGTGAAAAATAAACTAAATGATCATGAATACATGGACTTTTATGTTTCTTTTTGTAATGTATTACTGGTATAACTCCCCATACCAAGAGTGACAGTAAGTCACTCTCTTTGCTACAGTGGTGTGTTTTTGAGTCTGTGAGAGGAAGAGAGTGAGAGCTGGTTGTGAAAAGACAAACGAAGCATTTAAGATGACGCTGTAACTAAATAAGGGGTGACCTAAATGAACAGGAGAAGCAAAAGAGGGGTTGTTTTTGCTTTGTAGAAAAGGATGGCTTTGAGTAAAATGGGTTAAAAATCAAAAACGTCTTTTAATAAGTAGGTGACAATGATTAATATATGATGTGTTATTTCTATTGTCAGGCATAAAATTATAAATAAAAAGATAAGAAGAAATCTGGCTGTACAAATCTAAAAGACAACAAAGAGGAAAGTTGTAGATTTAATAACTAACGAAAAAACACCCTTGTGTAGTGACACAAGTGTCCTGTTGGGGGCAGCAGTGTGTGACAGCGCGGTACACCCGCCCAGTGGGTTACAAAACCACCGAAGAAGAGAAACGGACCAATAGCAGAGCTGACATTTGTGTTTTGAATGAAACGCGGTTGATGGCAGCTGAACGCTAGGTTTGTTTACTCTGTTCTCACCTCTTTTACAATGTTGGTTCAAGTTGGCTGGTAAATATTGGGAGGTAAATGTGCTCTTATATGATTTAATGTGCTGCCTCACGTAATCCGTCGGTTGGTTAGTGTAAAAATGTCGGTTATTTGACGCTGTGTGCGCAAACTTAACTTGAGTTCATGTAACGTAACTTACGTTGGCTAGCGAACGACTTGGGTAACGCTTTTCTTAAACTCGGAGTTTATCATCTTGCGACCTTCCTCACATTATTCTTAACAACCCCGTTGTGTGGTGATTTACACATTTACCACATACATCCAAGTTATGTTTGGTTAGTTATTAGCCCTTAGCCCTAAATGCACTTATAAGCCTACTTCTGCCTGTATCATAATGTTAGCTCGCTTGTTGACATGACTTCTCTCTGGAAACGCTAATGTCCACCAAGCAGCTTAATCAGCTGTTTTAAACAAAAAAAGCACGTTTAACAAGAAATTGTTTGTCTTCATTTACAGTTGTACAAGTTGTTTCCCAGTCCTTCCAGAGTAATGTCCTCCAGGAAGTCAAGTTCCAGTGGGGAAGGCTTGGTAAGACTTTTGTGCTCTGTAATGCGCATTGTATTTTATTAAATTACTACACAACAAGCTAATATAGAATAATAATATTTGGTTTGACTTTTGTTGATGATAGCCTTCAAGCAGATGTGGAGAACGTACCCCTCTCAGAAGTCTGGATAATGAAATGCCTCATCTGTCAACTCCATCAAGGTTCAAATCAAAATCACTGCTCCGTGGAGACGCTGTGAAAAAGGTGAGTTTACACACACACACACACACACACACACACACACACACACACAAATACTGAAATGTTAATGTTTGCAATGTCTTTGTTACTTTTTCTTACCCTCAATTAATTCTAATCAACAGGCCGATGTTCCTCTCTGTGACTCAGAGCCCCACTTGCGCTCTCCTCCATCCACCAAAGTGATGCAAACCGTTGCTTCCAATACTGACATGACATCTACTGAGACAGCTTGTGGACTTGGAGATGTAACATTTAAATCCTTCATCTGTCCTGGTGGGGAGGTTGAGATTACAGGCTCTTCAGTGTGTGAAGAAGATAGTATTATTTTGCCCGAAGATCAGCCTACAAGAAACACTTGTGGAACCGAAGATACGGTCATCTCTGACAGCATGGTAGTTCAGTCCTGCAGTGACCACATAGAACACCCCTATCACAACCCTGAGGTGAAAGATGCTTCCTTGGTTGACATTGACGCAGCATGTGAAATTTCAAACTCTACACTGGCCTCTGGAGACTTGGATGATAAATGTGCCACAGAAGATATCAGAGCTTTTCAGCACGACTTCTGTGGGAAGACAGAAGTGACTTTGAAATCCTTTGTCTGTGATGGCGGTGAGGTGGAAGTTTCTGATGTCACCAGACTACAAGATGAGACCATTCCTCTGCCCAAGCCACAGCTTGGTGAACCTTTACAAGACAACAGTGTGAATTTAACAAATCTGTCTGACTTTGGTCAACTATGTCAAGTGGAACATGCAGATCATCTCTACTGTAGTGGTGAAAACGATCTTTGTGTTATCACCACCTTGTCTGGGGCCACAAATGGTTCTGAAAAACCTGCTAATGGACTGAGTGACGTAACCTTCAAATCATTTAACTGCACTGGGGGTGAGATTCAAATTTCAGATGACACCAAACTTGCAGATGAGACTGTTCCTCTACCAGCTGAACAAACTGCGGCATGCAGCGATTCGTTTACCATTTACAATTATGGTATAGATCCAAGCATGTTAGCCAGTGACCAAGATGTTCAAAACGGTGATGATCATTTAGATCACCCATACTGTAATATTGAAAGTTATCCACCAACCCCAAGTGGCAACCTTGCCATTAACCAGGAACCATTACCATTCAGTCTTGATGCTGTGGATGAAGTTAAACAGATTAGCTTGGTGGTACCTGATAGCCAGACTGGCAGACAGGAGGGTATTACATTCGGCTCGTTCATCAGTGCCAGAAGTGAGTTTGATGAATCAGATGGCAACCAGTTATCTCAGAAGACTTCCCTTCCGCCTGACGATCATGCTGTGATCTGCCAGCCCAGGGATGACAACAGTGTACCCACTTCCAGTACACAGGATCACATTCAAGATAACTACAATATCAGCCACATAGAAAACAATAAAGTTGTGGTAGAAACTGACAGACCAGCTGTCAGTACATCTTCTGTGACTCCCCTGTCTTTAAAGGCACTGAATGACGAATCTGTTCACTCTCAAATACAAGAAACATCGATAAAGGACTCCATACATCCTGAGGACAGTGCATTGCCTTCAGTGCTTCACAAAACTGAATCCGACTGCAGCCCCCCTGTGACCTCGGCAGAGACTCCAACCCCTGTGGAAGTGCATCTGGAGCATGTCTCTCAAGTGCAAATCAGCACTAGAGCCCATGAATCCAATGAGGAGAAAGACAGCGCTCTCGGTTCATCTGGAAATGGACCTGTTCTTTGTAATTCTGCAGAAAAACCTTGTGCAGAAAACCTCCCTGATGTTCTTAAAGTGCTGTCTGAGTGTCCCACAGTAGCATCAACTTTTCAGTTTGGATTCCTCAGTCCTGATGTTAGGAGAGTTTCTCTATTTGCATTAAAGACTCATAAGGATCTTCCTGTGGACCAATTTTTGGCAGACGATTCTGCTCTTGAGGGTGAAAAGAGCTTTGTAGCCCCTGTTAACGTCAACCCCACTGGGTTCTGGGCAGAGCACTTGGAGAGCCCCATGCCACGGCCTCTGTTAAATTCTACAGCACTAGGTTGCAAGGCCCAGCTAGGCCTAGTAACTGAGCCAGTCGAGGATGTGGGCGTGAAGCCTTGTCCAGTGCGTCAGCCTGAGGTGGAAAAGCCGGTTCTGGATATCCCTTTGATTCCAGATGGTCCTCTGCAGCAGCAGCTTCGGCAGATGGCAGAGTTCCTCTTCTTGGCGTCAGGAAAGATGGGTCCTGCTGCTGCCTCTGCGCCCGATCCACCTACTGCTACTGTCACGGTCCCATTGGCAAGAGCTACTCCTGCAGAATCCCACAGTGTCTGTGTGGGCACCACTCCGATGAAATGGGTAGATCACAGTGTCAATACATCTGGCCAATTTGAGAGAAAGAGGGATTTCTCTGTGGCTGATTCGTGCACTGTAACCGACCCCCTCCTGTGGAAGTAAGTGTTCCCTCTGGATTAATTATTCAATAATAACGACATTGGCCAATTCAGCTTTCTGTCTTTTCTCTGTCTGCCTCTCACTGTTTCCTTCTGTTGATGTGCTCTCAGTGTACCTCCAGGCAGTCTTGAGTGTCTCCCCAGACAAGAGCTGGAACAGAGGTTAAGGTCTAGCATGATCATGGTGGAGGCTCTGGTGCAGCAGTTAGCTACAGCCAGGACACATGGTTGTCCATCTACAGGCCCTGCACCTTCAGACCTCAGGGAGAAACTAGTGCAGACTGACCACACTGAACTCAGTCAGGTAAGGACACATGCAGACATTCAGTTTTTTAAATTTTTTTTGTAGATTTAATTATTTTGCTACGATGACCTCTTCATCTTGTTTCTTTTATGTCAGCAATCTATTGATTTTTTACAGAGGCCATGATTACGGTTTTAATGGATTATTGTTTTTGTATTTTATATAGACCACATTGCACAGAGACCTATATTTGGAGGCTCTGAACAGGATTGGTGAGTTGGAGTTGGACGGAAGTTCCCTACAGAACCTCATCCAGTGTATGCAGGACATGAGGGTCACCATGGTATGACACAAACATTGTCACTACACATGTAATATGTTGCAAAATTTTTGAAACTTTATTGATAAAAGGCTCTGGCATGTCCCTGTTTTCAAGAACCCTTTGTACCTGTAAATACATTTAGTAATGTTTCTGAAAATGTATAATATTATATGTGAAACAACCATGACACCTGAGTTAGTGCTTTAATAACAGTTGTATGTGTATCTGTCACAACAGACTTCTTTGAGTTGTGACACGGATGCTGCTCTCTCTAACATGAAGCAAATAGGAGACGTTGTCAGAGAGGACCATCAAAGCCTTGTTTCACATGTATGTAAACATGTCTTTCATGTCTCTGCCATTTGACATCAATTGCATACTTTTGTATAATTGTCCAATAGGGATAAATTAGCTGATGAGTTTCCTTGTGTTTAGTACGGTCAGATGAAGTCTCTATGTGAGAAGACGAAGGAGACACAGACAGCGATGATGCAGAAGGTCAAAGATGCTCTTCACCAAAAAGATGACATGAGGATACAGATGGAAGAGGCCTTCACAGCCAAAGAGGCTGTAAGTACAGTGACAAATCTCTTAATTGTTCATTTTACCTTAGTAGTTCAATGTATGTTTTGTTTCCATGTATGCCATTCCTTGTTCACGTGGCTGTACTGCAGGTTGAAAAAGATTTGTTTATTTTGTGTTGCTGAAGTCAGTATTTCTACAAACCAGGGCTATAGTTTGTCATGCATGTGTTGTGAAAAGATTAGATAAAATAATATTTCTTCTGTGCTGATATTGGCCGAGGCCTTGAGGAGCAAACTGAGGTATTTCAACACTTTGTCTGTTTCCAGGCCTTCAGTGCAATGGAACAGCTAAGGACACACTGTGCCACAGAAATCTCAGACCTGGAGAGGATTGTGGGGCCTCAGCAAGAACTGTTAGCTGCCCTAGAGCGGACTTACCCAGAACAGGTAACAGAGACCAGGCAAAAACCAAACAGCTCTATTTAATCTATTCAGTATAACATCCTACAGTTCCTTTTTAATGTCTCTTTTTTTAATTGTGTTTCTCTTCTAATGCAGGTTGCATTAAACCAGGTCTACACAGAAACGCTAAATTCTGCGTCTGATGTTTTGTCCAGAACCATAGAGGAACATTCGAGTCTGATGAAAGAAGTATGTATCTTTTTTTTTAATAAGAGACTGAAATAACCGCTGCAAAAGATAAGATGAGCAGAACGAGCCAGAAACTGATGTGACAAAGTACTAACAACATCAACAATGTTTTATTTTAAACTATTTGTGTAAATTGTGGTTCAGTCTGACATTTTCTCACAATGTAATAACAACACAACAGTACCTTGTCATTTTTCTTGCTCATTTGATGGAATGGTGACAGCAGATATAACTGTTGTTAAATGCAACAGTGCTCATAATATTGACGCTTTTTTGCTTTTGTGTGGTCATATTTTCACAGCTTTGCACAGTCAGAGGCCTTCTGCAGAAAACTGCTCCCATGCTTCTGAAGCTGAATGAGAAGGCGGCCGCTGCTGTGAGAGAGCGGGACGAGCATATGTCTGCAAGAGACCAAGCTGTCGAGGAGAGAGAGCAGGTCAGATGTCTATAATTTAAGTCGAACACTTAAAGGTCCAGTGTGTAGATTGCAACTCCCTCACTTCACCCTCCCCTTCCTGATTATACACTAATGAAAACAGTTATTTTTGCCCATAGATCCTCCTAAATGTTACACACTGGACCTTTAATCTCCTGCAACTCTTTTCTACTTGTCTTACATGAATAATGATGATGATGATGATGATGACGGCAAATCATGAAGATGATTTTTAAAAAATTATTATTATTATTATTTAAAATTCAAATGAACTTGTACTCAACAGATAGAGGAAGAATGGAACCAAACTAATTTGGATCTCCAATCTGCCAGAGAACAGATTGGTGATTTAAATCTTCAGGCGACAATTCTGACTTCAGGTAAAAACATAAATATGTTTAACTTGCTTTGGTCATTTCATTCACTCTCTTTTCAAACAGTTGTATTTACCTTTAATATGGTTTTCTTCTTTACTAGCCAATAAACATTTCATTCTTTTCATTACATTTCAGAGATGGGTGTGCTGCGCCAGAAGCTAACAGAAAGGGAGGAAGAGAGAGGTCAGCTGGAGAGGAAGGTGACGGAGCTGTCTGCCACTGTTTCCTCCACTTTGGCCTCCTACACCTTCCTGGAGCAGGCCCTCGCTGCCGAGACTACAAAGTATGATCCCGACAACCACACTAATTTGTTGATGGCATACCAGTGCTGAGGAATATAAAAGGGAACATATACTGTGCTACTGAAACATTATTTTCTTGAAGGAGCAAAATGCTTATTGAACTACAGCATGCAGCTTCTAAAAATGTTGTTGTTTCAGGTTGCAGCAGTCATGGAAGGACATCCAGCAAGCCAAGGACAGAGCAAATGAGTGAGTGTTGACCAATGGTTTTGTCAACTCATTAGGGATGAAACAACAACTTGAGCATTTCAGGTTGAAATGGGTTAATGGTTTGATCTGAAATTTTGAGGAAAATAAAACTAAGATAAATTAATCTTTCTTTATATACATTGATTGTAAATTTCTAAAGGCTAATTTAGTAAGATGATATGTTTAGAACAGAAGAATGGGACCAACCTTGTTTTCTGAGAGCAGAACTTTATGCCACACATCCACAAATGCTACCTAAAATACTGCAACTAATGCCACTGCCTGTGTTCTGTCTGGATCCAGGTTTGAGGCGTCACTGGGTCAGTCAGAGGAGCGTGTGTGTGAGTTAAGTCAGGCTCTGGCTCAAAGCGAGGAGCAGCTCAGTCAGCTGAAGCTCCTCTCACAATCCCAGCACATGGAGATCCAGCAACTCCAGGACGTTTGCACACAACTCAATGGTGTCCGGGAGATGAACGAGGTTCGTTTTTAGATTTTAAGTTTATTTACCCATTCTGGCCCCATTGAATCCCCATTGCTGCCCCATTGCTGCCTTGATTGACAATTTTCTCCCCTAAAAATCACAACTGGAGCAAATGTGTTGCAGTGGAGCTCTGTAAGCTGTCAGGCTGTACATTGTCCATGTTTGCTTGTTTTTGCAAGGGTGCTGTCATCCCATCAACATGGAAATAGTATGTGACTCCTGTTTAATGGTGTGTTTCTGGTTTCAGTTCTTACAGATGGAGAATGAGTTGGCGAGGGAGCAGATGGCTGAAAGTGAGCGTATGCTGAGGGCCAACCTGCAGGGGCTCCGTGAGAGGAACATCCAGTGTGAGGACCTAAAAGGAGAACTTGGTCAACTTCAGTAAGTTTAAGCTAACGACCCCCATCTTTTTATGTATGTTATGATTAATGTTGAAAGCTGATTAATGTGCTATTATTATATCTGTGTCCTAGTGAGAAATTTTGATTAAACACCACAGTTGTCTGGTTGTTTTGGGTTTTGTCAAAAAGTTCTTTGCAGTATGTAATATACTATATATATAATGTGTCAGTCCATCCAGGATTTTGCAGACTTTTTTGAATTGTTGTGGCCTAAAATTCCTGATTTGACAGCAGCTTTTCTAAAAAAAAAAAAAAAAAAAAAACTTTGTGATGCATGTTCAATCTATTTAGGCCATTGAGAAAGTGAAAATTACAAAAAATAGTGGTGGTTTTTGTTTTTGTTCTGTGTAATTAATTAAATATTGAAGACAAGTGAGAATAAAATCTCTAGTATGGCTCAACGTTCTTCACGGGGGTCTGATATGAATGGTAAAGGTCCATTAGTGGAATAGTTGTGGGGATTGGACAAACTTGCAAGGTTGCATCACAAATTTCTGGAGGGACTGGTTAATAAAACAAAAGTTTTTTCATTGGGTGAATGAAAGTGGGAGCAAATATGAAGCTAATTCAAAATAGGTAATTTATGGTAAATTTGATCAAGATAAAAATATCTGTGTGCATGCAGCTTTATTTAATCTTAAAAATATCTGATGCTGAACTCACTTTTTTTGTGTATATACTAAATGATAACTTGTCTGTCTGCGCACGTGTTATGCAGGCTTGAGAACAGGAGTCTGCAGGAGGAACTGAAAACCACAAGGTCCAGAGCCAGTGCAACCCAGCTGGAGCTAAGAGAGAAACTGGGCCAGGCAGCCACTGAAATTACTTTGCTGCATCACACACTGCGAGGGCTGACCAATGAGCTACACGCAGCTCTCAATGACCAGGTAACGCCTAAGAACTGTTAAACCTTTAGCAGAACAGAAATTTCACCACCTATGTCTCACTTTCATATGTGCCCATGCTTATATTCTGTACATAGATACAGCATGCAAGGCTATAGGCCTACCTGTACCTGTATTTCTAGTAGACTGTTGGTGGCACCACTAAATGTGTTTGAGTTCAGTTATGATGCTGAATGCTTCAGTTCTCTATATGGGTGGTGTCAAACTTCATGCAAATTTTAAGAGCTCATTTTGTAAAAGCAAGTATTCCTGAAGTGAACTGTGAAATTAAGTGGACTGCAGAGATGAAACACATTTTTTTCATCCAGGCTTTGTATGTCTAACTTTTCAGAAACCAGAATCACTGAAGGATAAAGAGTCTCAAGCAGTCCACAACGTGGAGCGTCGTCACCCCTCCAGCTCTTTTGTCGACAGCATCATGGTTGCATTAACTGCTGAGAAGGAGGAAGATGTCAACAAGGAGACACCTCCTGGATCAGGTACTGTAGCTCTACCCGCATGTGTCTTGAAGTGATACTCTTTCCAAAATGTAATCGCTATCAGTCTAATAAGTGTTAACTTATAACTTGTCACAGATTTAATTTGCTCATAAAAGCTGTCAGTTACTTAACTTCTTTTAACCTTGAACACAACTAACAACATTCAGATTGACTCTGCGATGTTGCTTAAACTCATGCAGGTGGTCAGTCTGAATGGGTCTGGGGGTGCTGATATATGAATTCAATTTAATATGGAGCCATGTAGTCATATTAATCACGTCTCTGAACAGTGACACCCAGAGATTCTCCTGAGACCTCTGTTTGATTTGAATGGCTCAAATGTGGGTTGAATATGTGTTCAGCAGACCATAGATATCATCCTTAAAGCCAAAAATAACCAATTTTCCATTTCAAAAGTACATGGCGACAATGGCGTGTTTTTCAGTACTCTTATTCTTGTCCTTTTCTACATTATCTGCATTAGCTAACATTTTCCAAACATTTTCTGCCTACTCTGTATGCCTTAAATTTCCCACTATATTACTACATTATATAACTCATTTCTTACAATTAACATCTTGAAGCGATTGAGTTGCAGAGCTAGCATCTTAGTTGACTGGACCATATTTGCGTACATACATCTGAAAAATCAAACTCAGTTCAGAGTGCTTAAATGTCATCTAAGGACTTTGGGCAATGGGAAATCTAAGTTGTGGTTCACTGTCTCTTCAGTCCCCTCAGACATGCCTGAGCCACAGTGTGAAACTTTGTTCAGTGAGACGAGCGCCTTCACCCGCATTGCAGCCGTCACCCCGAAAAAGAATTTGAACGCAGTAGAGTTTGAGCCAGAGGAGGACGAACAGAGCAGCGTCACAGAGCTGTTCGCTGACCTGGGCAGCACCGTCACAGAGCTCATCAGCACCCTGAAGTTGGTGCGGCAGACTAAAGATGCTCAGCTGGAGGAGCTGCAAAACACCATGTAAGTGATTTACATAGGGATTTAAATAATTAGGGAATATATTTTGAGATTATGGCATTTTGGTAGTAAATTTCATATATCTTCTAATATTCTTTTAAGCTTACTTCTGATCTCAATGAATGTTTGGAGTTCCCATATTTTCTTTGTTTGTTTGTTGTTTTAGAAAAAGGCACCATTTATTCAAGCTTAATGTAAAAATGAAGGTGTTGTGTGAATTCTTCCTTAAATAACATTATCTTATGCATTGTCCCAGCTCTGGCCTGCAGGTGGAGCAGCAGGCTGCCAACAACAGACACCAGGCTGAGGTGTTTGAGCTTAAGCATCAACTTGGCCGTCTGAACAGCCTGGTTGAGAAAGGAAGTCAAGCACTGCAGCAGAAAGTTCAGGTAGGAATTAAAGTACATCTCCTCAGTGCTGACTTCATCTATGATTGGAAAATGGGTATGGAAGAGCTCTGACTGATGGGAAACCGTAATGAAGCAAAAGATGTTTCTCTTTACACAGGATGAGAAAACTGTGACAAAGTTGATGTCAGAAATACAAGAGACCAAGGAACTTCTAAATAAACACAAGACTGACAGTAATGTAAGGCACAAAACCCTTATATGTATATATGTATATATATATCTCTCTATAACAAATTCAGAATACAGTTGGCTTAAATGTTACTTTTTTTTAATTAATTTTTTTAAAACAGGATTTGCGGAAGGAGGTGGTTGAGCTTCGTCGTTCCCTCCAGCAGTCAAAGGTGGAGTCTCAATTCCTGCGTGGGGAATTAAGAAAAGCTGGTGGCCAATCAGCTCCTGCAGCACATTTCATGGAAGAAAAGATCCAGTTATTGAAGGAGGTATGATGCTGCTGCGTACGGTGTGCTAATTGCTATATGCTCTACATTTATTATAATACTTTTTAGGCTATTATTAAGCAAACACTTCTCTGATTTTATGTAGGTGGAGAAACTGAAGTTGAGTCTTCAGGAGGTGGAGCAGGCCAGAGTTAAACTCCTTGATAGAGCAAAAAGACATGTAAGTATCACCTTGATGTACTTCAGCAGTTACTGACACTACTGAGTACATTTATGAGCGAATTTCTCTCCTTTTAATAAGATTATCTACATACGCAATATAACTACTAAAGAACTGTGATAAAGTGTTGTAATGCCTCTCACAGCAAGTCATCCACCAGACCAACCAGCAGAAAAGTGAGAATGAGCTCCAGATGTTAAACAACATGATCAATAAAGTCAGAGAGGTGAGGGATGCTTTTCATATGTTGCTTTTGTGCATTCTTTCACCTTTGTTATCCTGTAAATACATTAAATATATGTACATTTGAGGTAATGAATGTTTTCTCTGCACAGACCCTGCTGTCTTTGCCGGATGTCATGAAGAATAGTGAACAACTCCAGCAGCTTATTGAATACATTGGCTGACATGTTTGTTATTGCCACCTGTGTTCATTGTATTTATGTCCGCTATGTTTTAGTTTGGCTTGTGTTCATATTTTTAGTATGATTTAAAATAAAGCAAATTGTCTTCCTTTTTATGTGCGTTTCAGGAGTAATGCCAGTGATCTAATTAAAATTTCAAAATGTTTGTCTATTTTGCATCAGCAAATGTTTGCTAATATTCAAAACCGCACACAGACACAGTTCACTGTACATACCATGTACTGCAAACAGACGTGTGTTGCTCCAAGCTGGACAGTGAACATGTCGCAGTTTTTCCAGTGTCAGATGTCATTCGTAGGTGTTTTCAATGTGATTATTGTTTTTAATTGTATACATTTGTGTGCCAGAGCAGTTAATATTTTGGCCCAGTATTTAGTTCAAGCCATTTAACAGTTAACAGGAAATTCTGGTAGAAAGTAGTAATGAGACATTTATCACACTCCACTCAGATTTTCATGTTTTGGTTTTTGGTCATAATAAGTAATGTGCCAAATACACAACTTCATTCAGAAAATGTGTCTGTTTCACTTTCTGTGTTTATACAATATTTTTTATAATATCTAACAGATGTTAGCGGTGCCATCATATGGTTTTTCTGTTTACAATTGAATTTAACCTCAACTGTGGTTGATGGGCTGTGACTGTAGTTGCACCTGAGTGGGTTTAAATCTCTGTCCCGTGTTTAAGATATTGCTCATCTAGTTCAACAATATACAATAAGTGCACTGTGTGAAAAGATTTCCCACAAAAATCAACCTAATTCTTTTTTATTATAGCCTGCCATTAGACCGTAAACGAAGCTGGTATTACTCAAACAAATCTTTGTGGCGTATTACGCCTGTCACTTCTATCTTGAGTCCAGGTCTTACAATGATTAAACCACTGTCCTCTTGAAATTATAATTTGACACTTGCTGATTACTACTATCCTCATTTAATCCTCTTAGATTTTAAGATTGTAGCAGCACTCGAGAAAAACCAGGACTCCTTTCAACTAAGGATACTTTGTTGGGGAAAAAAAACTTCAAGTCATATCTGTCAACAAAGCTCCTTTTCTGATAGAAAATTCAAGTGTCTTCACTATAATGAAGCGTTTCCTTACAAGTCTCATCTTGTCAGATGCTGACTTTGTCTAAAGGGGGTTTCTTGTGTTGAGATAAAGGACTTGCACTACTTATCTTTATAGGCTAAAATATTGTGTTACAAGTCAATTCATTTTCCTGATTAGTGGATCTGTGTGGTATTAACTGGGTCTGTGTCTAAGTGCTATGTTGATGTCTGGACATGATAATTGAGGCCGGTCACGGTTTCTGGTAATACTGTGGCTCCAGACAACACTTCAAACCAGCTGAGCTGAAACAGCAAAGAAAATAACGCAAGCACAAAAGAAAAATATGTTTGAGGGAATATTTTCTTCATGGTGGCATATGTGTCGTTCTTTTGGCCCTTGTTTGTTTTGTAATATATTTGAATGATAAAATTATATAAATTTAGTATCTTGCTAAATTCTTGCAAACCAAATCTTCCCCCTTGGACATTTAAAAAAACAAAAAACAGTTCTGTTGTCATATTACTTAAATTGTAAAAGCAATGATACATGAATAATTTAAATATTTTATTCTTAAAGAACAAAAGTGCTATAATTCCGTTTATTTCCAAAAAGGCAACCTAATATGCATTTTCATTCGACAACAAAATACATGCAAATATACCAAAGTTAACGTTCTTCACACAAGCCACTTATTGCAAAGCCTATGACCATGAAGCACAATAATTTATTCTAACATTTCAAAGTCTGTTACTTAAACTAGCCAGTACTGTAAATCTTAAACTTGCACATTCAATTCATGACAAAGCAAAAAAGCTTGCAACCACTGGTAGCATCCAATGGCAGTATTGGATGCATTTTACACTCACATATTCTGTGAAGAGGCCTTGACATTTAATTCAAAATGTATAGTGTTTATCTCAGTAAATTACCATCAAGGTTGTAGGGTTAATGGCGAGGCGAGTTTAAAAAAAAAAAAATCAGTCTGTTGAGTTTTGTCTTATTAAATCACTCAAACAAACTAAAACAATCATCTCTGGCTCATTTGGTGCCGTCTCAAGTCTCTGATGTTCTGTTCACAAGGTAGTGAGATGCTCAGATCTAGATTCTCAGTAGCTCAGATGGCAGACACAAACCTGTCCATATTCCCTGGGTACGTGGGGTGTCTCAGGTAACCCCCTGTGTTGGAGATAGGACCTGCAGCACTGCTATACTGGGAGAAAGAGCCCAACTGCACTGGGGAGACCCTGCCGTAATGGTCCATGGACTCTGCCGACCCGTGGCTTGAGGAATGGAGGCGTCCTGTCATTGCATACCCCTGGGTGTGGCCCTGTCCATATGAGCCCTGGGATGTATGGTGGTGTGGGTGGCTGTTTGGTCCCGAGTAGGTGAACCCGGGATGCGTAGAGGGGCGGGATGATATGACCCCTCCACACGGTTGGCTCTGGAAAGCCGGGGCTACCAGGCTGCAGGGACTGGATCCGTTTGGATTCCCCTCGGGACTGAAGCTGCGGCTCGGTTGCTGCATCACCTCTGGGCCTTGACCTCCCAGCATGCTAGCTGGAGTTGGGTGACCTATGATGTTATTGATGCTGAACATGCGGGTCTGACCAGGTCCAAACCCAGGAGGAGATGAGGAGGGGTAATAGGCAGAAGGCAGTTGCTGCCCGTAGGTCGGACTGACTGTCATGTTCGGGTAGACTGAGTTGGCATATGCGGCTGATCTCGCAATCTGGACAGGAGAGAAAACGGGTGTCTCATGGACATATGAGGTGTAAGTGCTGAAGTCACAGCGCTTAAACCTCTTCCTGCGCCTCAGGAAGCTGCCACTCTCAAACATGTCCTCTGCATTTGGGTCTAAAGCCCAGTAGTTGCCCTTCCCTGGCCTCCCAGGCTCTCGAGGGATCTTGATAAAGCAATCATTGAGAGTCAAGTTATGGCGGATTGAGTTCTGCCATTTCTTTGAATTGTCTCTGTAGAAGGGGAAGCGCTCTGTGATGAATTTGTAGATGCCCCCCAAAGTCAGCTTGCGATCAGGGGAGTTGGCTATGGCCATGGAAATGAGTGCGATGTAGCTGTAAGGGGGTTTCCCTCGCTGGAGAGGTCTCTTTCTTCTCCGACCTCTGGGCTGCTCCTCTGTCTGCGGAGGGTTGGAGGCAGACGAGGTGGTGTCTGCTGGGGAGTCTTTCTCCACTTTTACCACTGGCATTGTCAGGGACAGTTAAAAAATGTCCCGTAAAAAGAAAATTGTAAAGCAAACTTACTGCAAATGCTGCACAGGGTTAGTACTTCCACAGTTTAGATGAAGTTCCCTGAGGAAAAAGAATAAATCCTGCACAGTGGAAACAAAACAAGAGATCAGCCCAGCACACAATCCTGCTTGAAAGATCACACTTGTTTCTTACAACTCAGTGTCTTTGAGTCCAAATCCAGCAGTTCTTCAGGTGCAGTGGAAGTAATTTGCTTTTCCAAGAGATCCTGTTTCATTAAATGCTGCGCTTGTTCAGCTTATTCCCACAGTTTGTTGTCAGGTTGAAGAGTTAAAGTGTGAGAGCGCCATGTATATGTGGTGTTTAAGGTGTGTGAGAGAATGAGTCACTCTGTTACCTGAAGAGTGTCTTACCTCCACAGAGCACCTGTGGGACCACACCCCCTTAAGCATCACATGCTCTTGACATACCTCCACATTATAAGGGTCTATTGTTCATGTTTGTGTTCAAGTCTGCAGACATTGTGGTGGAAATTTCTATTTTGAGGGTTTTAAAAAATGTTATGTAAGTTATTTATCTAATAAATATATCCTCATATCATATCCTGAAATGGTAAAAAATATCTACAGTCCAAATCAGAATCTACTTTTCTGATTAGATTTTAAAAAGTTTCAACTATTGTGAATCAAAAAAGTATACATATATTATTGCTTTTTATGTATTTACTTTCAACTATTTATTTTAATCAGGACCTTTTTTGTATCATAGAACAGAACTGTTAAAGCAAACAGCGTTTCCTTTTTAAATTCAAATTGCCCTTTAAAGTCAACCTCAGTTTGTTTTAAAAAGTCCAAAATGGTCCATGTTGTTTTGACGTTTAACACTAAAAGACCTCTTTAGTGGTAATTTAACCTATGAGTTGTTTTTCTACCTTGCTTCCTTGTTTGTTTTGTGCCAGTGGTTGGACAAGCCAGCTGTGTTAAGAGATGTAAATGTTTTCCAGACAAAGGCCGTCCTGTGATTTCAGCATGCAAAATATAGGCCATCATCATAATGCCTGGACGCAACCTGAGAGACAGGAATAACCAACTCTCGACATGGAAATTATTCATTGAAATTGGTCATGATTATGAATGTCTTCAAGGAATTGGTGGTAATACTTGCTCGATACGTTTTTAAAGTTTGTTTTGTGTATTAGTACATTTTTTGCAGTGCAGAAATTGCTGCTCACTTTCTTCCCTTTCCTAGATAGTCTAATCTGTGAAAGCTCTTCTTTTAAGCTGACTTTAAACACTATTAAATTTCACCGGCACCAGTGATCGAGACAATGCTGACACTCTGAGCAACTCTGGTGGTATGAAGTCCGGGGACTCCACAGGGCTGGGGTTCACCTTAATCACTTAAACAAACAGAGAGGAAAACACAGCAGCACACTCCCACCGCTCAACACCAGGCTGGGTTAACACTGCGGGTATGTGTCAGAGCGGGAGCTTGGTGAGAGCCCGTGGGTTTGCTCAGACAGACAGCCTGATGAAAGGTTTAGTCCTCTGGGGAGGGCCAGGGGATGTGACTCTCCTGGGCTGGACCTGTAGCACCATGTTATATGATGGGGTGGGGTGTATGATGAGTTAATTTGAGAGTCCACCTACCTGTTGGCTTTAGCTCAACTTTGTCATTATTCCTAGGAACAGAATAAAAACATTCATTATAAAAAATAAACAGTTTAAAGCCTCAGGACCATTTTAATTTACAATAAAAAATATTTTTCATTTTAAAACCTTCAGTAAGTTTATTTAGTCAAGACTTGGATGATAATTTGATTATTATCAGATAATGAGACATTCATTAGAAAGTTGCAGTATTGTGCACTGATTGATTTAATAACTCATGCTGATAAGACTAAGCCACTATTTTTATCTGACAGTTATAAACATTTAGAATATGTTTGTATAACCTTAGTCTGCATTTTATTGATTTTTAGCATTTGACATTTTTGTATAATGATCGTTACTAAACATCCTATTCGTTTTGTACCTTTTTTGTTTAGCTAAATCCAGCATGTTCTTCTCTTTAGAGTACACAGTAACAAACAAAGTCTGTTGCTGCTTCTTGTTTTACATATTAAAATATACATTTGTATTGGATCACAAATGTTTAATTGTGAACAATATAATTATTATTATATGTTTTTTAGTGATCTGTGAGTAAACAAGGATTTTCCTAAGGTTTTACATGTATATACTGTAGAAGTCTCTGA